TTATGTTACATGATGAAGCTTACATCATGCTACACTCACAATGCAAGTGGGCCCCACAAGTTTTTATCAAAAAATAAAAAATAAGAAAATGGTGGGGCCCACTTGCATTGTGAGTGTAACATGATGTAAGCTTCATCATGTAACATAATATTCATAAATCCCAAAGAGAAATGATAAAAGTTAGTTGAGATTTTGATCTAACAATATTTGAAGATGAATAAACAAAATAAATATGAAAAAATAGATAAAATATCCCTATCTATTTTATCTCTAAGAGATTACCTCGCTCTAAGAAACTAAAATTTTATTATATTATACAAAAGTTAATTACATATGACAATTCCATTTGACCACCGAAATTTAAACATTACTTTTTTCAGGTTTGCCAACTTTGCATTTTGAAATAGGGGTAGAATATTATCCTTATTTTTTATTTTATTTTTGCTTAATCTATCAAGTTATTTTCAATATTATTAATTCAAAATCTCAATAGAAAAAAATAAAATAAAAGTTAGTTAGAATTATGATTTAACGATATTAAAGAAAAATATATAAAATAAACATAAAAAGTAAACATAATATTCTATCCTTTTAACATATCACCTCAATCTAATATTTACTCTCAAGCTTTTGTTACTGTTATGCTCTGTAATCTCCATTTCTTTTTCTTTTTACTTTTTCTGTTACTTTTTACATTGAGTAGCTATGTTGCACCGACACCGACACGGGACACGGGATACGACACGATACACGTTAATTTTAAAAATGTTAAATTTCGACACGTTAGGACACGTTTTGATATTATATAATATTTTTAATTTATGTAGTATATATTATATTTAATATTCAATAATTTAAAAAAAATAAAACTAAGCTTATAATACTCATCAATTTTGCAAAGAAATATAAGATTCCCAAATGTTTATATTAAACTCAATAAAATAGTAATCGTGAACCAACAAATCTAATAGTTGAAACTCAAAATGCAACGCAATGTAACCTTTGAATCTTTTATGAGTCTTTGTAACGAGTATTAGAGTGTCGGAAAGTGTCAGAATGTCAGAAAGTACCGGACACGACACATTAAGAATTTTGAAGTATCGGTGCTTCATAGTTGAGTAGCGTGCCTTCCTTCGATATTTGTTATCAAAAGAAAGAGGGTGACAAAATGCTAATTAAAATGAAAGCACAAGTAGCCTTGAAGAGGTCCGATTGCAAATTTAATTGGTTTAATAAAAAAAATTGTATCATTTGAATTAATTTTTTTTTTTGATAAATAAACTATTACTTTTTAATTAAGCTACAAAACATTCTTTGTACATGATAACAAATTAATAATCTTTTTTTTCACATACATAATGTATTTTTTGGTGCATACAAAATATCATTTTTATAAGATTAGCTTTCTGATTTCTTAGAGATCAAGATTTTTGTGCGAGTGCAACGTATATCACGTGAATAATCATGTAGCACATTGTCAAATATGGGTGGAGCAATGTACCTACTCCCCCACCCGTGAATGTTCGACGAACCATTAGCTATTAATTAATCATACATCTTTTCTTGTATCAATTATTGCCTTCTCTTCTATAAATAATCATTCTACTTCGATATAGCCCCACATACTCCCCATCATTTATAATGTAATGGACCTAATTGTGCTTGCCTTGAGTGGTATTGGAACTACACTGCAAACATTTCAACACCCATTCATTTTTTAAATTGGTGTCTGAGTATACAGCCACATTCACATCATTATTTTCTTTTGGTATATAAATCGGTTTAATTCAATTTCAGCATTGTCAGATTCATATTAAGGACAGCTTTTCTAAAATTATTTTTTTATTTTATTTTTAGGACTCGAATTTAAACCTCTAATTAAGAGAACCATCTCCTTGCCACAATATTATTTTCAAATAAAATATCAGTGTTGTCTGCATTGAATGTGATGTTATTTGTATTGAATTATAAGTCATTCAATTACAAACAGAATTTTTATTTCAGAAGATTTCCTTCTATCTGTTGTCGATTTGTACATATTTACTAATATTCTCGTGTAGTTTTCTTGTCCATCTATGTCCATTTCTCTTGTCCACAATATCTCCTCCTTTTTAACTAAATATTTTTTCTTTCAAATTTGGTATTGTATTAAATGATACTGATAGTAAGTTTTGGTTTTTTTGTTTTAAATTTTTGACGTAGCTCGTTTTAATTATAAAATTTTTATTTGATTAATAATATCATGACTCATTCACGCACACTGATTTGAGATAACTAGTGATCAATATAATATATACATAGAATCAAGGGAAAAGTTAAAATATCCCATACGATTTGTCTTTGAATCACTTATCCACTTATCCCCTTATATATTATTATTTACACTTCTATATTTTTTTCCATCCAAAACTCTTTTTAACAGTATTAGAGTTTTTAATTGATATGACTATTTGTGTCATTTTTCCCCCTAAGCTTTGCAAAGGTTTCTTACCATATATTTTTTTTTTGGAGATTTTATTTCTTTCTCTATCAGCTGTACCTACCAAAAGTTATTCAAATTCACAAAATATTTTAGTGATAAAAATTAAAAACAATAATTTCCGTTTTCTGGCATCAAAAGAGACTTGTATAGTCCGAGTATAAAGTTCATGACTCCAAAATCCAAACTACAAGTGTTTGACTTAAAAAACAAAAATAAAAATGATCAACCATTTTGCGCTCACCAAACTTAACTACACCTGATTAGTTGAAGATATAATAATTCTTATGAACCTTGGACGCATGTGCTAAGAAAAAGCCATGATATGTGCTGTGCTTCGGTCCCTCATTTCATACACACCTCTTATCCGTACAATATACCTAGGCACACAAATTTCTCAAACTTATGGTGGCAAACATGTTTGTATGGCAAAAATTAAAAACATTGCAAAGTTTAGGAAGAAGATAACAGAAAGTAGTTTATGTATATTTTGGTAAGAAGGGTATAATATTTATATGGATTAGAAACTCGAATATTATTAAGGAGAGACTTGGATGGAAAAAAATTGTTAGGGGATAAATGATAAAAAAATATGAATTTTTTTTTTTATATAATAATAGTAATTGAACACATAACCTAATACAAACAATCCAAACTCCTCACCACTCGACCAATCCCAATTCTAATGGCTTTATATGGGAAAATAAATGATTCAAAGGCAAAACACCTTAAATATTTGAACATTTACTAAAAAAACAAAATGTCTACCTTATTCTATAAAACAAATGATTATATGATTGTCAATGTCATAATGTTTTTTAAGTTATGTTAATTAGAATTATTTTCTCAATAATTATTTTTTCTTATACAATAATTTCACGATTCGAAACTAAAATCTCATACAAACTAGTCAAGTTCTTCGCAACTAAACCATTTCTAATGCTTGCAATTGTTTATATTATTTCAAGTTGTAATTTTTCTAATAAAATTAAGGGTTATGTTTATCTCATTTTACATGAGATAAACAACTCTCTTATCTACACAAAAAAAGGGTTGGGTCCCATCATTCTTTTTTTTTTCTCCTCTTATCTACGGGTCTCACTTATAATTTTATTTCTACAACATGAGATAAAAATTTTCCTACAACATAAGAAAATTATTTCTCTAAAATTAATAACTTCTACATTTTAGATACATTCTGAATTATTTATTTATATTTTCATTAATTTCATGTATTTTTTTTAACTTCCATCAACTAAATAATTTTTTACTCAAACAGATTTAATTAATTATATTATTATTAGCTTATACACATAGATTAAGCCATATTTAAAAATCTCGCATGTCAATGCGGTTTTGACTTTAGATTCACTTTATTAATCTCTCTTAACTTTCAGTGTTGGTATCCATTTTGTCTGGTTTTGATAAAAACAAACATGTCATATTATATGACAATATTCTTTGAGTTTTTAAAAGTTTGTTATCGACTTTGTTTTTGGTAGTTAAAATTTAATTATAGGATTTAATGTCCGATATGAAAAATAAATGCAATAATTAATAAATAATGGATCCTCTCGTGTGCAAAAAAAACACATGATATGATCATGTGTTAGATCACAACCATACAAAGATAAGTCAACGGTTATGATTTCGTAATTACCTATTTTAACATTTTTTTTCTCTCTTCCTTTTTTACTGTTAATCTATCTTTATATGGTTATGATTTCACACATGACATAGTCATGTAAATTTTCACATGAGAAGATCCAGATCCATCTACAAAAGAAAGGAAAGAGTAGTTATAACAAAATAGAAACAATTTTTAAAAAAGGAAAGAGAAGATAGACACAAGAGAACAGTAGATTAGAGTCTGTCTGATTGTTTTTTTTTTTTTTTTTTTCTTAAAATTATTTTGTAGAATAATTAATGAAATATGTACTTTTTATATATATATTTTGTTTTGAAAATTACAAAAAAAAAAAAACAATCTAGATATGTTCTTTAAATTTAATTCTAAAAACTTAAAAAATAGTTTCAATTTTAATTTTTTTTTTACAAACAGTCCTTATTAAATAAGTTTTTTTATTTTGTTGTTTTGAAAATTAAAAAATTATTTTTCAAAACAAATTTCAAACAGGCTGTTAGAAACAACTTGAAAGGAGAGAGAAGGTAAATGAGAGAACAAAAATTTAAAAAAGAGAGGAGGGAGAATATAGTTTATAAGAGAAAAAAAATTAAAAGTTTAAAAGAGAGAAATAAAAAAGTAAAGATAAGACATTAAATGGAAAAATAAAAAATAAAATGACAATAATAATAATATTCGTTAGTTTTCTATTGTGTGATATCAATAATAAACTTTTATTATAAGTCATTTATATTGTCTGTTTTCCTAATAAAATGACAAAATCACTGGCTGGATAAGAAAGCCACATACCCAATATGCTATTTATAGTGTTGTCCAATTTAAGGTTTTAATATCCTCTCCCTAATGCTAATATCGTCTTCACTACTCTCAAATTTTCAGAGGAAAGACAATGACTAAGCATCAGGAACAATCCATGGAAGTTCCAATCAAGTACCCAGGCAAGCTCACCCTTAGGGTGGTTCTCACTTGCATCATGGCAGCTACTGGTGGCTTGATTTTTGGTTATGATCATGGTGTTTCAGGTAAATCAAATCATCTTTTTTTTTTTCTTCAAAAAATTAACATTTTAATAATAAAAATTCTTGCTTTGGTGCTAATGTCTTTTTAATTGCCCAATTGTGTCCTTGTTTGAATCTGAAAATGACGTTTATTATCTGGGTTACAATGCATTATCTGCTTGATCACATTTCTGATATGGGTTTTTGGGATAGAGTATTTCCCTTAATCTTGGACGTTAATTATTATGAAAAAGGATTAACCTTTGCTACTATCTAGTTGTCATCTTCAAAGCAATGTAGCTTCCTGGTTTCTGATGCATATCTTCTGATTGATTGAATTTGTGACATGGGGTTTTTGTTGTGTTCATTTCATAGGTGGAGTAACTTCCATGGATTCCTTCCTGAAGCGATTCTTTCCATCTGTTTATCAACAGGAGTCTAACTTAAAGCCTTCTTCAGACCAGTATTGCAAATTCAACAGTCAGATATTGACACTGTTTACATCTTCCCTGTATCTAAGTGCTCTTGTTGCGGGTCTTGGAGCATCCAGCATAACCAGAATACTGGGTAGGCGTGCAACTATGATTGTGGGTGGAATATTCTTTATAGTAGGTGCATTGCTCAATGGAATGGCCATGGGTCTCTGGATGCTTATTGTTGGGAGGCTATTGCTTGGTTTTGGCATTGGATGTGCAAATCAGGTGCATTTTCTTTAGAGCTCAATTGGGTTCTGCTATGATTATAATCTTGTGGTTAACCAATAATTACTCTTTCAATTTTCAGTCAGTTCCAATCTATGTCTCTGAGATGGCTCCTTATAAATACCGGGGAGCTCTAAATATGTGCTTCCAAATGTCAATCACTATAGGCATCTTTGTAGCCAATCTCTTCAACTACTACTTTGCCAAGATACTGAATGGTCAGGGATGGCGCTTAAGCTTGGGGCTTGGTGCAGTCCCTGCTGTTATTTTTGTTATAGGCTCAATTTGTCTTCCTGACTCACCAAACTCCCTTGTTGCGCGTGGCCGTCATGAGGATGCCAGAAATGAGCTTGTGAAAATTCGTGGTACAACTGATGTTGATGCAGAGTTTAGAGATATGCTTACTGCTAGTGAAGCCTCGGAAAAAGTAGAACAACCTTGGAAAACCTTGATGGAGAGAAAGTATAGGCCCCAGCTTGTTTTTGCCATATGCATTCCCTTCTTCCAGCAATTCACTGGCTTGAATGTGATCACATTCTATGCTCCTATTTTATTCAGAACAATTGGTTTTGGAAGCACAGCTTCTCTCATGTCTGCAGTGATCATTGGCAGCTTTAAACCCGTTTCAACCTTGGTTGCAATTCTTATTGTAGATAAATTTGGAAGACGCACCCTTTTCCTTGAGGGCGGTGTTCAAATGTTGATTTGCCAGGTACTTGTTTCACATTTCCCCCACATAAACCCTTTTCATTTCATTGGTTTGGTTAGTTTTTAGTTAGTAATTTTTTTTGAATGTTTTGGCCACAGATTATCATGACTATCGCTATTGCTGTTGCATTTGGCACAAGTGGAAACCCTGGTACACTGCCTAAGTGGTATGCAATTGTAGTTGTAGGTGTCATCTGTGTATATGTTTCGGGTTACGCTTGGTCTTGGGGTCCTCTAGGGTGGTTGGTACCAAGTGAAATATTTCCTCTGGAGATTAGACCTGCTGCTCAGAGTGTCACAGTTGCTGTCAATATGATCAGCACTTTCTTCATAGCTCAATTCTTCACTTCAATGCTCTGTCACATGAAGTTCGGTTTGTTCATCTTTTTTGGGTGCTTTGTGGTGATCATGACCTTATTCATCTACAAGTTTTTGCCAGAGACAAAGGGTGTGCCACTTGAGGAAATGTCTACGGTCTGGCAGAAACACCCCTTCTGGGGCAAATTTTTGGAGTCTGACAGCAGGATCCAAATGGACAAGGTAGACCCCAAATGTTAATTGTGAGTTTTGTGTTGTTTCAGTCTTAGATTTATGCAAGTTTGGTTTAACTTGAAAGTTTCTTGGTCTAGCTTTGTGGTGATGCTGTAATTACAAAACATTTAAGTTGGAATTTCATGCGTTGTATACTGCAAATCCAATTAGCAACTTGATTAGATATAGAATTATAATCAAGTTACACGCAGGATCAAGCCCTAGTGGGCTTGTATCATTTACTATTACTTCTTTTTTAATGTGAAGCAGTCTTGCAGATTCGGATTCTATCTTTCCCAGTTGTCTGGTACTAGTATTTCTTCCATTCAATGACACAGCAAACGAACCCCACCCAATTATCCAAGGCAATTACTTTTGCATGTTAAATTTCTATATTAGAGTCATCAAAGATAAAGCTATCTAAAGAATATAAAGCTTTACTAGTTTTGCATTTGTTATCATAGCATCACTCTTTTCTATTAGCAATTATTGATCAGTAGTTATAGACTTATAGTTTCAAGATCAAGAGAGAGATATGACGTCAGCCTGAATTCAAGTATTCACTAAATTGACTAAACTCGAAGGACATGACTTGTTGAGTAGATGAAACCCATTTGCGGCATTAAAATAGAAAATTTAACTTTCAAGAACCGGAGCTATTAGAGCTGGCATTTCTAAATTTAATTTCGTATGGAAAAAGGGCTATTCTAAATTTTGGATTGCCGCCTAGACCAAATTTCTTGTAGGATGATTTCTTTTTTAAAAGCAAAGACAATTAGACAAACTACTAAAGTAACTTTTTTTAATTTTTTTTAGTATTTAACTACAAAAGTAACTTTGTATGGACCAAACTTTTATACTTTATTGGGATTTCAAGGTGATGGAACCTATTCTCAGTTCAACAGAATCCATGCATATCCCACTCTCCTCTTTTTATCCCCACCAGGGGGCGTTTGGTACACGGCATTTGGCCGGATTCTCGGGAAACTGAATTTTTTTAAATTTTAAATTTTCAGATATTATGGTAAACTGAATGTAAAAATCATATTTTTGAAAATTGAAATTCCCGGACAAATAAAAATTTCTCCTGTACCAAACGCCCCCTAAGAATATTATAGAAGATTTCCCTAACTCACTCACTCACTCACCACTTTTAGAGTAAGGTAAATTATGTTATCCAAAAAAAAAGAGTAAGGTAAATTATACATTATTTTTCTAAAAATTTGTCCAAATTAATTTTAATTATGAAGTTTAAAATTTTACTTAATTCCTTGAATCCCTTGAAGATTTAGGAAAGCAGGAATTATTAAGAATTGAAAAAAAAAATCATTGGTTCAAATTATAAAGAATAAGAATTGGTTACCCTTAATTAGATATGTTGAGTTGGAGTTCCGGGAATGAAAAGAAAAAAAAATAAATCACCAATGAATAATAAAAAAAAATCATCTGCTATAGCGATGAATAATTTTATTTGTCGAAAATTCACCAAGGAAATATACAATTTTTTTGGAAGGATGTTATGACTATGCGCTCGAACGCCCGAGTGCACCACTTTCGTGTATTGCTTAATCTAAGCTTATAACAACCTCACCTAAGGTTCAAATGTTAAACTAAAAATAAAAATAAATTACAAGACACCAAAACTCGTCAGCTTGAGCAGTCTAGTGTTTGTAAGGAGCTTCATTTTCCTAACTCACCGCGCACTAAAGTGTGGGGTTGCACAATAATTCTTCAGGCCACATAGAAGAATGTGGTAATTAATTATACTTTGGGAGTTGGAGGAGGAAGTAGCCATTGGGAGCCTTCAATCATCTCAAGTGATATGTAAGGTTTTACCTCCGCTTCACTTAGTTTCTTTGTGATTGTGGCACGCCCACTGACATCTGCACCAGGTCCCTTGTTCTGGTACTCTCCAAAGTGTGCAGTTCTGTACATAATAATGTCACCAATTAATCACATTATGCTCATGCACTCGCATTAAGTTTCTATATGATAATGGAATTTACAGTAATGTTTGAGTCTAATGGTTAATGTGACACAAATCTACTTAGGGTTGTATATAGTCAGATAACTTATATTATTGATAACGCTACTTAATTATACTTGGTTCACAAATTATTCATTGAGGTATGAGTTTCAGTATATAATTATAAATGCGGAGTTGTAAAAGAATACTTATATGTAGAATTGAATTAGGGAGTTACTTGTCATATTCGGGGTGATTGTTGTTACTCCACCCTGCTTTATTTATAACACTGCTCATGGTGGTGTAAGCGAAGATTGCTTTGGTATGAGAAAACCATGCTCTTCCCAAGAAAGTGCCAGTCCCAGTTCCTGTAATGTCGCAATGCACAAATGAGTAGCCACTGTCCTCTTCCTCACTTTTTCTTGCTTGTGCCACTATCACAGTCATCCCACTGTCGCCAAGCACTCTCAATTCAGTGTTCTGCATCATAACATAAATAAAATGTTACGTTTTTAGTGTGCATCACAAGTTGAATGAAACAGATATATGGAATTATATTTACCAAATATAGTGACTTCCCACTTCCAAAAATAAAATCCACAGTGCCTTGAATTAAGCAGTCTTTGAAAAAATGCCTATTCCTATCATCACAAATTGTGTCCTGGAATCCAAAAAACTTGCAATTATAAAACGCTGCTTTGTCACCAGAAATTCTCAACGCAACCGCTTGAGCTCCTGGCCTCTTTCCATCAGGTCTTGGTGCTGAATTCTATAAAATCAAATTCACAAAAAGCCAAAAACACAAATAATCATGAGAAAAAGTCCAAGGTCAAATGATAAAAGCATTTGGCTTTTTATTTTGATTAATGTTGTTTTTAAGGTAGATAGTATACAAACCGAGATAATAATGTTAGCAGCCACGAAGTAATCTGATTCAGCAATCAATGTAGCACTGTCAACAGTGCCATATTCCTTTGCTGTGCCACCAAAGGTCAAGTTTGGCATGTTCCCTGGTTCCCCATACAATGTAACAAAAGGCTTTGTCCTCTCAATTTTGATTTTCTCATTATAATTTGCACCTCCAATGTAGACAATGACACGCTTGGTGTTCCCAACAGGGATGCTCTTAACGGCATCAGTGATGGTTTTGAAATCCCCACTTCCATCTGGCATTACCTTAACAACCTTAGCACCAGCCTCTGCAGCCACAAGTGCAGGGTCCAAGGTGCTCGTTCTCTGACCCAAGGGCATCACATTTTTATTGAACCATGCGCTCAATTGGGACTTGTCAGCGGGAACTGGCACAGTGTCATCCGATAAAACAACGTTGGCGCTTAGGAAAACTACAATGAGAGCCACCTTAAAGGTAGAGCTTCTGGTCTTTGAGGCCATATTTCCTGTTTTGAATTTATGTCTTGGGTGAATAGGTGATTGATGCTGCAATTTATAAGACACATGGAATAAGTGAGATGCCTAAATTTGTGAGACTTTATTTAGAGAGCTGTTAATTTGATTCACCCATCTTTTGTTAGGAAGCTAAAATTAAACATGGGGTTGATAGTGCATGCATTTGAATTTCATTGGATTCTGAAATAGATTGTATTTTAGTTGAATATGAATTGCTCAAGGTTTCTAATTCTTCTAGTTTCTAACCATACAAATGTGTAAGCCAAAATTGAACACGGTTTACCCACACAAAAAATTGAGAACAGTTTGGCAAGGTGAATCTAGGCCATTAATTGAATTCGGAAATATAACGACTCAGTGGTTTGAGCCTGGCGTCAGAGGGGAACAATGATAAGTGTGGTAAGTTTTTTTGCATTTATATACCACGGGAATAGTAAAATTCACTGTACTCCGATATTGAAGTTCGTCACGAATGGAATGATTTTTTGACATATGGCACAGTTTTGCACGAAAAATTAACTGTCACGTGTCCAAGTTTAATGCGACTGATAGCGAACTCGGTAATCAATGATTTCATGACACGTGACACACTTTCACAAGAAAAGCTGATTGGACAAAGTTTGCTAACAGGGGTAGCAAACTTGGTGCGGTATGTGGCACAATTTCGTTAACCGATCAAAATTAATGTACCAATTACGATAAAAAAAAGCAAACAAAAAAAAATGACTATTTAATTAATATACCAATACTAATCACAATTACTGTATCAATCACCAATCACAATTAATTTTGATTGGTACATTAATTGTTTGTTATAGCATTGTTACAAATTCGAACGATGTTTGTGAGAGATGAAATATATCAAATGAGGTGTCATTGCGTAGATCTCAAAAAAGTTATGTGAAATAAAAAAAAAATTATCTGATTTGGATATTCGAATCAAAAGTAATGGCCTTCGGAAATGATTGGTGATTGGTACATTAATTGTGATTGGTACAATCAAAAGTTAATTTCTTTGGTACACTAATAGTGATTGGTGATTGGTAGATTAATTGTGATTGATACATTATAAATAGTTGTTTTCCTTTGTTTTCTTTTTTTGATTGTGATTGGTACATTAATTCTGATTGGGTAACGAGATTGTTCTACATAGCACACCAAGTTCGCTATCCCCGGTAGCGAACTTAGTCTAATCAGTTTTTCTTGCGAAAGTATGCCACGTGTCACAAAATCATTGGCTACCAATTTTCCTACTAGTCGTAGCGAACTTGAACACGTGACAATCAGCTTTTCCTACAAAAGTGTGCCACGTGTCACGAAATTATTGACTTCCAAGTTCGCTACTAGTCGTAGCGAACTTCAACACGTGACAATCTGATAAAAAATACTGTTTGTGTGGCAGATTAATAAAAAATTGCTAAAAATATGGCAATCTGGTCAATGTTACCGTCAAAGGAGTATAATGATACTATTATATAAAAATCTATAACACAATAATTTATAATCGATCAACGAAAATATTATAAGCATATATTATTAAACAATAATGATATAGAAAATAATAATAATAAAAATAAAAATAATAATTTGATGATTATTATTTGGTAGCAACTAGACCCTTAGCCTAGGTAATCAATGGTCAACAAAATAGATACAGGGCAGTAAAGAAGCGAAAGAGAAAGAATTAAGTACCTATCGTCACTCGTTTAGAATGAAAATAGACAGTAGAGAAGCGAAGGAGAAAGAATTGTGAAACTGATTTCTGACTGTATAATGTTGAAGCAGTAATAAATTGGCTAAACAGAAAGAAGAACGAACACTAGGAGTGTTAAAAAATACTATTTCTCTTTTCTAAATTTTATTAACCAAAAATAACCGAATAACAATAGGGTTTTTCAAACTTTAAATAGGCAAAACAAAAAAAAATTAAATAATTATAATCACGCACAATTAACGCAAACTCTAACTTAATCTATAAATAACAAAAAGGAAAATAATTAACAATTATTAAAAAGTCCTAAATTATGGAATAAACTATAAAAAGGCCAAAAATTGTTGATACCCATGGCAATGCGAAGAGTCTTGCTCAAAAACCCATTTTGAGTTGGCTATCCAAATTTGGGCCCAATTCAAATCAATCTCTCGGGTGCATCATCCTCCCTTGCTAGGAAAAGATTCGCCCTCGAATCTGCGTCTTCATTGATGTCAACTTCTTCAGGTGATAATCTAAGTGGCAACTCTTCTGACACAATATCACCAAATTTCGTAATTACGGGTAGAACTTGCGAATGCAATTCTTTGATATGTTTGAAATGTTCACTTACACTTGAACTAAACTGGTTAGGAACTAGAAATAATGTGAGTTCTAAGGGAGGAAGTGGACAAAACTCATAGACTATCCCAAAAGGACTATTGCCTGTAGTTTGGTTCAACGATCACATCTGTAATCTGTCATAGGAAAATTTTGCCTGATGTAACATCAAATCCCATTGCCCCTTACGATCTCCAATTAAACTTCCACTAAAAGCTAAATCTTTATCTCCATAAAGCATGAGGTTGTTATGCCCGTAGTGCCTAAATTCATAATATTGCTTGCAAACTAAAAATTCCTTGAATGAATGATCATTCTGCATGACATCTTTGGGTAGAACTTCCGCTTTATCAGAGATATTATAATTTCTAGTAATTGACTTTCCGCCAAAATCACTTTAATGTATTTCTTTCGCATCTGGATTCTCAATGTCTTGCTCTTAATCATATTTATCATAGATAGGGAACTCGTCATAAACTGGAGCATCTATATTGGGATTCTCATCATCTTGCTCTTTATCGGATTCATCATAGATAGGGACCTCATCATAGAATGAATACTTATTGTTCTTCTTTTCTTTTGATTCATAATAGACAGGGACCTTATGGTCTTTTGTCAAGTCTCTGATGTCAAATACCCTTTCGATGGTGTATAATCAGTTGATAAACTCATCTGGATGAGTGGTGCTCTCGAATTTCTGGATCTCAATCTTCACCCCAATATTAGCAAAAAGGAATTTATCGCCATGTTAACTTTGTTCTTCTCGCTCCTGGTTCCAAAATGGGTTTTCGCTCCATTCCTCTACATGAGATGATCTTTCAGACTCCCTTCCTTCATCTAACTAGTTCAACTGTGTTAGGGCAAACAGTTGTTCGAGCTCCTGAATTCGTCTATCTTGTTCTCCTATTGCAGCTACAATTATGGCGTCTCGAGCATAGGTGTGTGGTTATTCGCCATCTCCTTTAAGGGTGTTACCACGTCCTCTGCCGTCGCCTCGACCCCGTCTTCCACGACCTCTTCCTTGACCGTCATTATTCTGTTCAGCCATTTTTGTGACAACCAGGGCTCTGATTACCAAATAATGTCGAAGCAGCAACCCATTGGCTAAATAGAAAGAAAGACTAAAAATAGGGATTGCGAGGAAAACTATTTCTATTTTCTGAATTTTATTAACCAAAAATAACCAAATAGCAATAGGGTTCTCCATGCCTTAAATAGGGAGAACAAAATAAAATGAAAATAAACCTAAAAAACCAAAAAGCCCTAAACTATGGAATAAACCTAAAAAGTCCAAAATGACACATACAAGCACACATGAAAATTTCTAAATCAATCTTAGGTGCATCACTTTATTAATTCATTCCATCGATGTATAGAGGGGAAAAATTTAGTACTCTTGTAGGTACAACGGTCCAATGGGAGTGTGTCACTTCAACTGATATTTTTCTGAAGAGAGAAAACAAAATAACTTTAATACTTTACACTATGTACTCCACATAGAGAAAAATCTCTCATCATACCCAGTGGTCAGTACCCCTATCATAGTGAAAGTGCTTCCGATGTATAGTGTGTAAAGTCTTTACATATAAGTATATAACCATTATTCATTAATTAAACAATAATGATATAGCAACATAATAATAATAATAGGATGATTATTATTCGGTTGCCACTAGACCCTTAGCCTAGTTAATCAATGGTCACAACAATAAATACAAGGCAGTAAAGAAGCAAAGGAGAAAGAATTAAGTACTAGTTGTCACTCGTGTAGATGAAAATAGAGAGTAGACAAGAGAAGAGTAAAGAATTATGAAACTTATTCCTGACTTTATTCATTCATTCCATCAATATATATAGAGTTGAGAGTCTTTGCATATTAACCATTATTAATCAGATAAATAGTTAATATCAATCCTAATCTAAAATATGAAATTGTTATAAAAAAAAAAAAAAAATGAAATAACTGCTACTCTATTAGAATTAAAAATTAGGGATAAGGACAAGATATTACTTTAATTATATTTACTTAATTCAATTATTATATTATCCTTATCCCTAATTCTTATTTCTAATATAATCCTAATTAATCCTAAATATAAATCAAATATTATATTATTATTATCCCTAATTCTTATCTCTAATATAATCATAATTAATCTTAACCTAAACAACTACCATGCAAATTCAAATGTGAAATGCCGATGAACCCATTTGATTGTAATGTCTTCAACCCATTTCATAACCTTTGAAACAGTTTGAGGTAATTTTGGATGTCTTGGGCCGCGAGTAGCCTTTGGAGATGGGTGTGGATATAGGTGATCCGCAACCATACCTATTTTCATCGCTTATTTTATTGATACATCGAAATTAATTACACTTTTGTGTTGTTTTGATCCGCAATGTTGGTTTAAAAAATGATAGCATTTTGGGTAAACATTACACTTACAAGCAAGATTCAGTTTTTTTTTTCCTTTGGATTATTTTGGGTAAACATAATTTTGAATGCTGTCTTTCCTTCTTAATTTCATATCTATAAATTTCCTTTCAAGTTTTCATGCTGGTTACCTAAATTCAGATGCTAGCTGTGGTGATTGAATCAGGTATTGTCTCAGTTTTATTCTGCTGGGGTGCAGTTGCTAATACCCTAGTAATATTGAAATTCTTTTACTATGCA